TGTGATGTATGTCGTAGCGTGGCCAGTCCTTTCGCGGCACCCACAGCAGCTGCGACATGATGTATGTCGTAGTGTGGCCACTCATTTCTCCATCAGTCCCGTCGCGATCAGTCCTTTTGCAGCCAGTCATTTCCAGACATGTAGGAGACATAGTAAACAGTTATTTATTTTTTGAATTTTGTCGAGCAAGGGTTGATAAGTTGAATGAATATATATCTGAATGGATCAGCATTCAAAGTCAATCACTATATAAAGATTATCTGCACTAGTGAATCAATATCTCCAAAATGTTTATATTTTCATTGAAAGTGGAACGTTGAAACTTGAAAGTCGAAAATTGAAACTTGAAACTTGAAACTTGAAAGTTGAAAATTGAAACTTGAAAGTTGAAATTTGAAATTTGAAACTTGAAACTTGAAAATTGAAACTTGAAAGTTGAAAATTGAATTGAATTCAAGTTTCAAGTTTTACATATATGATTTTGAGTACGAATTCAATTCCTACAAACGATGCCTCGAATTAAAATTCTGATGTTTTATTTTAAACATATTTATACTTCATGCGAACGAACTTAAACCTTGAGATGACAAAAATAAAGTTTTGTAAATCAGTTCAAACATTCAAAAAACACTACATGTCTGCATGTAACATGATGCTAATCGAACAAGAGAGAACCATATTATGTCTTGATATAATATTATAATCAATTGTTTTCAGTACTCTAGGCACGATGACTCATAAAAAGTTGCGCTTCAAAATACACGATTTCGAAAGCATTATTTTTATTCGTTTTTTCCAGTAGAAATTCATTATCAACTCCTATCAGAGAGCCTATGATGGCGCTGCTGCCGCCACTGCGACAGCGTCAGCAGCACGAGAGATGCTTCAAAAAATACTATCGCGTCAGCTTTTTTTATTAGGAAGATTGTAAAGTTACATGGCTTTGCACCCGATTTGTGTGTCTACAAGTCTAACAGTCAGAATCATGGTGAATCTATTAGATACAAACTGATTGTGCTAATTAAGCACAGTAACAGAAGAAATTTTCTAAGAATTTCTCGAAAACCATCGTGGCACCGACAGATTGTTCAGCCGTGATGAACATATATGATTCGTATTGATCATTTTGTTTACTATGATCAGTTTCATTAACAGTTGTACACATAAGGTTAAATATAAATTAAGTTGAATCTAAACTTTGTATGCAATACTTTTATCATATTCAATATCATCGATAAAAACTTTGGAACTTCATTCATATTATGAATTAGTTAAATTGCATTTATCTCTTAAATGAAATGAGTCTTTCCTGAAATGAAAATAATAAGATATGTATATCAATAATTCTTTAATAATATAAGATAGATATTGACTTGTAATAACTGTAAAATTCTGTTGATATATTGCGTGAGTATTCTAACATATTTTATATATTAATCAGATTTGTTTATAGAATTTTAAAAGAAAATATCGAAATGATGTAGATGAAAAGAAAACTGAAATATATTGTATACTTTCTAATATTCAATAATGATCAAATTAGATTTTAATCATTTTTCTTATTCACAAACTTCTTTGTTTTTTTTCTCTCTTAAAGATTTCATAAAATAAATTAATTTCTAGGTTATAAAAACTTTATCAAATTGTCGTTTAAAACGACCACGTCGATCAGTTAAAAATTCAATAAGTTCTGAACCATATTGTTCAAATAAAGCCCATTTAGCTTTTTCTTCTGCTGCTTGACGTCGAGATTGAGCAGTATTTTCACCACCTTCTAATGCTTCAGATAATTGTTGAAAGAAAATACTTGTTCGTGCATCATTCGTAAAATGTAAACCACTTTCATCAAAATAACGTAATGGTCGAAAAGATTCGTCACCTTTTTTTGGCTTATGTAATGTTTGTATATCATCAACATGACATGGGGCATAGACAACAGGTCGTTGCTTTTTTTGTTCTCCAGATGTTTTTATATCAATTAATTGTTCTTTTCTACGACTAAGAAATTTCTTTACATCTTCTACTGTCATTTCTAAATCATTCATTAAAGATAAATAAAACAAATAAATCAAAACAGTGAATTTTTTTTTCTAAAAATATAATAAATACTTTGAAGTAAACGATAGATTTCAATAGCATCTCGTTTAGGTGGCATTTTAGTAAATGGATCACGTGGATAATTATCAGCCAAATCCGGTAAATAAGGATTTGGTTTAACATGAGTTGAAGTATTCCATCTATGTATATTTACATGTGTTGATGGTCGATTACGTTTTGGTATTGTAGATTTATCTGTTTGAGATTGGTTTATCATATATTCATGAGAAATAGCTGGAAGTCTTGTTTGAATTTGTGATTGTTGTTGTTCTTGTTGAACTACAGGAGTTAATGGTTTCGTACCCAAAAAAAAAAATATAATAAATAGAAAAAGAAAAAAAACATGTCTATACGTTGGACACTTACTTTCTTGTTCACTTTTTGATATTCCAGATCCTGTACCTATATCAACTAACCATTCATCGAACTTTTCCTATATAATATTCAATGAGAATTCCTGAAATATATATGAAAAAAAAAAGTGAAACTTATTTACGTCACTTTTTTCTTCAAATAAAATGGCATGTTCACGTTTAATTTCAAGTAAAAGATCAGCCATTTTTGTATTACGTGATAAAAGACGTTCTTTTGCTGATAAATGTTTATTTTGATGCCACATGGCAGCTGCAAGTAATTTAGCACATTTTTTATGTCCCCATAATTTTGCAAGATCAATAGGTAATTGTTTACGACTATCTTCAGCATATACATCAGCATCATGTGTAAGTAACAATTCTAAACATTGTACATGACCTTCAGAAGCTGCTTGATGAAGTGGTGTTAGTTGATCATCATTTGTTCTAATAAAAATATATTAAGGCAAAAAGAAAATAATAATAATCAATAATATTAAAGATTTTTTTTTGTTTTCTTACATATTTATTTGTGCTCCTTTTGCAACAAGATATTGTAAACATTGAAATGAACGTGGACCAGTTTCTTTTGATATACATAAATGAATTGGACGCCAACCTGTTGAACTTGGTAAATCAATATCAATATGAACTGTTTCAACAAGATATGATAAACAATTAAGTCGACCATGTAATGCAGCAAGATGAATAGGAGCAAGGCCCTATTATATAATCGAAGAAAAGAAATTATTAATAAAAAATATTTTCTTTCTTTTATTAATATTACATCTTTTCCATATGTTTGTTCAATACTAGTTGCTTCACCACTTCCAATAGGTCCATCTCTTATACTTTGTTTAAGCCATTGTAAATCTCCAATAGTTGCTGCCATACAACTATCACTAACGGCTCGATTTTTAGCATCAACAGCTGATTTTGATGAACGTGATGATGTAGCACGTTCAACAGGTAGACGACGTTGTTGTTGTTGTTTTGATGTTGATGAATGAAATTGTGTATTTGTAGAAACAATAAATGGTTGTGCATTTGGTTCAAGACGAGTATCACGATGTAAACGAGTATTTGATATAGTCTCGTCTGACAACATACTTTTTTTCTTGCTTCTTTCTACAAGAAAAACAATACTCTAATAAAGAACTGAATTGTCAACTGGTTTACAATGACTTGGAGACTCATATTCTTTACATTTTCAAGTAAAATGATTGCTGTAGGCAAATAGAAAATGTCAATTCTGTTTTGATTATATGAAAATTTTGAAAGAAAAAAAAAAATAAACAAAAGTTTCAATCACTATAAAAATAAGAAACAATCAAAGAAAATTATTTTAAGAAAAAAAAAAAGTCTACAACAATTATGAATTGAATTATAAATGATTAAGATTTTTTCAAAATAAATCAATTTTTTTTGCTAAAGCTAATTAAGTAATAATAGACAATATGAGAAATCGATCTATTGACACCAACAATATATATATATATATATATATATGTGCGTATCATAAATCTGCACTCAATATACAAAACCTTACAATAAATATCAGAAGAATTATGGGAGAACGTTTATTCCTTTTAACACGTAGTTATAATATTGAATTTTTTTAGTTGAAACATTTTCTCACTTTCTAAATATAAAAATTTGCGTATTATTTTGTGACGTAGAATTATTTCCAAAAAGAACAAATACTGCATAGTGTTGTCCTTGATTATAAAAGATGTGATTCGAGCATTTTGAGTCTCCATTTACAAATGTTGTAATCACATTCTTCTACCAATTAAAAAAAGACTATCTTTTTTATTCTCAATATAAATTACATATAAGCACAAATGCCAGTGTTACTACCTACTGTGTGTTGATTGTTGTTCTCTCTCTCTCTTTCTGTTGCGTTTACTTAATGCTTACCAACGGCAATTGTTCAATGCAAACAGAACTTCACACGATGATGTGAGAAAAAAAACTTGCTTTCCTCCTTTTTTTTTTCTTTTTGATTTCATGTTGTTTTCACTACGGTTGCTATGAACTTTACCTGATGTTGCTCGTGTTTCGACAGCATCCAATCATATACGATAGTTTTCTTTTATCGTGAATTCATTTAAATTATTAGGTATATAATATATTCATTTTGACAAATGACAGAACGAAAAATTCTTGTCGCAGGAAATAATGATGGAATCATCGAGCATATTCACATCTAGATGTCGATGTGGCTTCAAATTAGGAATATGTATAAATGCATCCAGCAGAGAAAGAAAAGAAAAAGACCGAGAATCAAAGAGAAAGAAAGAACAATGTCTTATTCTGCGCTTAATGCATGTCATTTATCACTTTTTTTGCTTCTAATGATTCCGTCAAGTAATAGCTATTGATACTTGGTTCTATTGTTCGACAAATCTGGTTTAAGCAGTGACAAAGAAAGAGTAACTTATGATCTTTAAATTAACTTCGTAAATATTCAAATTAAATTGTATAAGTTATAATTATATGAAAAAATGCATTGAATCACATTCAACCTGACATTACAAACTTAAACGAATGCAACCCAAACAAACTTTGAAAAGTATACGATGGATGTAAAAAGCGCTCGAAAATTTGAAATATACATTTGTTATTCGTTCTGTTCTGATATCAAGCTCCTGGTAGCCATTGGATTTCGACCACTCGACAATTGTACCGTATCGAACATCCATTTTTGACTCCTCAAGCACTATTAGATCCTCAATACTCATCAAAGTTTCGAGTACTCGAAAAAAGAAACATACCGGAAGCAAATATTGAGTGTTCAAGTCGAAGTAAGTCTAGCAGAATAACAATTTCAAGCGGTGAGGTTAATTTTGATTTCATGAAACTTCTTTAAAAATTGATTTACAGATATGTCTCTTTCATTCGACTACCTTAGTAGAATGATTTATGTTAAACATATATTTTCCTTAATTTCATAATTTTCTAAAAAAATATTTAATATTAACTGATGAAAAATAACAAGCAAGAACGGAATTCATAAGCGTTCTTTGACGGAAAATACAGCCGTAACGTATTTTGTGTTTCGAATGTTTGAAAATGTTTTTAATATTGATTTTATACTTTACTATACAAATCAATTATGCATCAAAGAAGCTCCTTATATGGCATCGAAAACTCCAAAAACAGTCTTTTCTGTAGTTAGAGACATGCAAGAAGTGTTTTTATTTGATTCAAAAGTTTTTTTTTAATTTTTGGAAACTGTTAGCAAATACTAAAATAACAATTCTGAAAATACTATCCTTCTAAGAATTCAAAAAGACAACTTTCATTGAAGAACAATAATTCATATTTAGTTTAGATGTTCAGCGTATGTTAATCGTAAGTACTCATGTTCGAATTTTCTCCTCCGCATTTATTCGATAGGGTTCGACGATTCGAGAATGAGACATTTATAGGAAAACATCCTTTCTATTTTGATCAAGTTTTAATCCTCTCAGTAACAGGCGTTCAATTGATCGAAAACTCGACATTTTATTGACCTATCGCTGAGCCCTCCACCTATCGGAAAGTGAGAATTCGAGGATCCATTTGAAATTTTGATGCCTACAGCAACCGTAAATCGATGCATTGAAATTCCTATCGGATGGCCAGTTGGAAAAAAAGTAAATGTCTTCATTGTGTTGTTTATTTTAGGTATGCGTAAAATATATTGGCGTCAATTTTTGCTTCTATCATTAATTCTAACAATTTTACCATCGTTTTTTCTTATTTTTACTGCCATATGTCACACTACACAAGAAAATACTATTTCACACATTTATGATCAAGAAAAAGTTTTTTTTGACTCACCACAGACTTCTTCTATTCAATTATTCACAGTTCCACCACGTTATCTAGTCGTACCTTATCAAGAATTTGTTATACGTACATCTATTACTTGTCGAACATTTAAACTCGATAATCCAGCAAAACATTCAACTAAATTTCATCCAAAATATTCAAAATATTTACGTGGTCCATTTCCTTATGTTTTACCATATACAAATATAACATATAATGATATAGAAAATTTCTATACAAATATTTTAGTCAACAAAAAAAGAGATACTCCAATAATTCAAACATCATTTGCAAATAATATTACATTTGAAAATATACCTTATATATTTCAACAAGGTATGTGGCATCCTCTTGGAATTACATCAATTCAACGTACAGCTATATTAGTTCCATTACAAAATCGAGAATATAATGCTAAAACATTTTTGTTTAATATGCATGCATTTGCTAGACGACAACAACTTACATATACTATAATACTTATCGAACAGGTAAAAAAATAACAAATCGAAAACAATAGATTTAATTTCAATAATCAGCAATAACGAGTTTTTTTTTGTTCTTCAGTATAGTTTAGAGAAGAGTTCGTGATTCTATTATGAATTTAAAACATACATATCTAGACAATTTCATTTTTTAGGGATGTAATTTCTTCAAATAAAACTGTGTATATCTTTGGATTTTGAGTTTTGTTTTAGTTAGTTTTTATACATCAAATTTATGTTGAGTTAATCTGGGATAATCTGAAAAATCCATCTCTATAGAATTTTGTTTTGTCAAGTTATTATTATCTTAATTATCTTGTGATGATAGCAAAACAAAAGTTTCGCTCTTGAACATAAGCAGATCTCTGTAAAAATTAGTTCTAGTAGGACAATTTTCCTTAGTCGGATCTTATTGAACATTTTATCATAATGTTAGAGTGTTAATTGCTAATTATATTTAATTAACTAACTAACTTCAATTAGTTGTTAGAAGAAGGAACCAATATCTTTACATATACACATCACAAAAGAATTTATCCAATAAAAAAGAAAAGAACTATTCGCATAATTCCTGCATGATTAAAATGTATAAACACAATGTAACTGCTGTTGATAATCATAAGGAGATGATTTTATTCTCTCTATTTTCGGACATATTTCTTCACCATCCTTTTATTTAGTCCATCAGAACTACAATAAGGAAGGAGTTCATATATTATAATGAGATGTTATTGATATACATCTTTGATCGTATATCCATAATGTCTGTCACGTCTGTGTGAGATTCAAATTTTTACTTCTCTACTTCAATACTTATTTTAGATCGTGCTTCATAAATAATCAAAGTGGAATCGAAAATTGTTATGTTCTGCTGTTTTGACTGATTTTGCACATATGTGAAATAAAATTCATGTGTATTTTTATTCTGATTGTATATTTTTTGCTTCATTCATTTGAATGTATTGGCAAATAATTAGTAAATTGAGTAGCTTTTCTCAGATTAATTAATTATGTTGCAGTAAATATTTTCAAAAGATATTTTTTCACTATAAATAATCTTATTACATTATAATCATTGCATACATTCATCTAATTGATTAGAAAAATCAAGATATTGACGTTTGAATAATATAAACAAATATTTGAGTATCTTCTGATTTCTTCAAGTACACTCTACTTTTAATTCTTTACACCCATAACAATTCGAGAAGACTCACTAGTCAAACAACTATTGAAACAGAGTGTTGTCCTCTTCAATAAGTGAATAATATAAACAGATCGATCAGATACACTTCCTCGTGCACACAGTAATTCGGCAACTCCAATTGCCATTAGGAGGGGGGCGGGGGAGGAACGACATGAAAATATTTTTTTAATCTTTTGCGAGTAGCTTGTCTATTTCACAAAAATACAATATATTGTTTTACTTCAGCAATACAAATAAAGAAAAAACCAACACATACAAAGGTTTTTTTCTCTACAACACATGTGCTCCTGAAACAACTTTCTATATAAATAAAATCGTTTTTTCTCGAATTGATTAAATTATTAAGTAAAGGATATAATTATCGATTTATTCTTTTTCAACTTCGAATATGATAAAATTTAAAAGAATTGGGGTGTACGTGCGGGTGCGATTAGGGTTTCTTCTTGTTCAACACCAACACTCACATCCACTCATAACCGCATCAAACATTTATAAAACAACAAATGATGCTCGTATTTATAAATAACAGCAATCTGTTTACTTATCTATGTGTAAATATTAACAATTTTTACGTTTAGATGAGAATTCTTAAATCTGCTTTTTATGTCATCATCAAGATAAGTATTTTTCGTAGATAAAAAGAAACAATTTAAAGAGAAGAGGTCTACTTTTTTAATAATCTCATAATCGTCTCTTTTGTAAATCGTATATCTTAGAGACAGAGTAAAGATACAAAATACTTTTTTTACCAATCGATAGCTGAGGAAATTCTCTACATACGGTGTGTAAAGAGTTTTTTGATACCACACGTTCTGCATTTTCTACAGTGTTTCTAAAAATGGCAATTTCAGCTGACAATGGGGATAAAGGGTTAAGTATGGTTCTAACTGATGTTTGATTTCCATTATCATGATTATTTCCTCTTCTTGTGTTGAACAGGAATTAACGATGAAGCTCAAACACTAGAGCTTCTCTTGGTTTCTTTTTGAGAGAAAGAGGAAGACAGTAGCAACTTCGCTATGTATGCTGTAATATCTAAAATGCAAATCATCAGTAGAAAAGAATAGCTAATGGCGAAACCGAAACACTATCTTCTCTCTTGTTCTGGAAAGGGTAGTGGAGAGTACTGCTACTCTATTCATACCATGTATCTATGATCACACAATGCACGTAGCGAGGGTGTCACTGCTCTTCTCTCAAAAAGAGAACAAGAGAAGCACTAGTGTTCTGGCTTCTCCGCTAATAGAGACGTGCGGGACCATGTTTTTTTGTTCCCGGTCTCGATCTAGAGAAAACTTTTCTATAGTTTATTCGTATCGCATCTAACAACATCTTCAATACTTTTTTTTTATTTAGTCAACGATTAGCACTTTGTTGGACCGCCTCTCTTGCATTATATTCTGATTGATATGATTTATAAGATAATTCGCTTGTAACCATAGAATACCTAACTATAATCTTAAGTTTCGGTTAGGATAGCTTTTGTTGTCGTAGTGCTAATCGCCAGGATCAGGACTAAATTTGGTCTCACACATTTCTAGAGTTGAATTAGTAAAATTTAATATTTTATTTGTAGTCATTTTATTAAAAAGAAGCATCATACAATATTTCATAGTAGGTAAATAGTAGTTTAGTTACTAGGGAACCTCTTCAGATATCCCCTTCCAATTTTAATAATTGAATGCCTATAAATACTACACAGAACCATAAAAGAATTTCCATTCCTATTGAAAGTTGACTAAGCTATCAAATTCTTCATATATCTATTTTCTAGAGATTTCAGGGTTTCGGAAAGCTCGGATTTTCGAATTTCGATCTGAAACTTTGTGCATATAGAGAACTCTACTAGACAAGTTTTCTTAAGGAAACTTCAAAAGTTTTGAACGCGGTCTCTTCCAGATATGAAGCTTTCAAAAAATACATGTTGAATATACTATTCATGGAAAAAGTCTATGTCTTGAAACTCTCATACCTTGAACAGACTTTGTTCAAAACTTCTGAGCTTTTTTTTATGGAAGTTAGTCTAGTTGAGTACTCTATATATGCTAGGTTTCAGATCAAAATTCGAAAATACGAGTTTTTATATATTTTTAGGTTTAGAGAATAGACATATTAACAATTCGATAGCTTAGTCAAATCCCAATAGGAATCAAAATCCTTTTAGGATTCTGTGTAATATCTATATACATATAATTATTGAAACTGGAAGAAAACTTCTGAAGAAACTCTTTTGTTAGTAAAATTAATAGAAAATATCAGAGCAATGGATACTACTATCTTATGAATAGATAATATCATTTTGAAAACTTTTTTAGTTGTATTTTTAAGGCTTCTCCACTTGGTCATCGTTTTAATAAAGGTCGATTATATAATACTGCTATTAATTATCTTGAAAAACAATCTTTAAATATAACATGTCTTGTATTACATGATGTTGATTTAATACCTGAAGATGATGGAAATTTTTATACATGTGAAACAAAATATCCAAAACATACAACCTCACGTGTTCGAGAACTTAATAATAAACGAGGTTATATTCGATATTATGAATTTTTAATTGGTGGTGTTCTTTTATTAACATTTGATATGTATAAAACACTTAATGGATTTTCAAATTTATATTGGGGTTGGGGTGGAGAAGATGATGATTTAGCATTAAGACTTATTCAACAACGAATGTGTATTGTTAGACCAATATATGAATTAGCTATTTATACTGGTAGAAAATAAAATAAATATTCTTTAGATCCTTTTGTTTTTTTGAATATTTGTTTCTTTATAGGATTACCTCATCCACGTGGTCCACGAAATAATGCTCGTTTTGGTTTATTAACATGGTCAACTCTTCGTCTTCATACTGATGGTTATGCACAAATTGAATCATTAACACGCATTATTGATATACATCAAACATTAACTGTAACTTATTTGAAATTAGATGTTAATCCTGATAAAACTCTTAATAAACAATCTTCAATGGGAAATATTTCTTCTTTATTAAATACAATCAATGTTAATATGACTTCAACAATTAAAACTATTATAAGAACTAAAACAATAAAAGAATCGTAATTTTCAGTTTAAGCAATGTTTCAAATATATCTAAATAAATAAATCTAAAGTATTCTTTGTATGATAATTTATTTTCTTTTGTTATTCTACTACTTAAGAATCTGAATTTACTATAATATTATTCTGTCTGACTATTTTCACTAGAATTATTCATATTATTTTTAATAATATTATGTTCATACATCTTTCACTTATTCAATATTCAAATAACTAAAATTGATCTAAATAGATAGTAAAGTGAGCGATGTTTCTTTTTCCTTTTTTGATGAATGATAATGACTTAAATAATCTAGTCGAATCTGAATGTTATAAGACAACGTACCATCTAACATTCCCCGTACTATCTAATATCACTATTCTATGAATAATCTCATATCATGAAAAGTTTGTTTTTTAATCAGTCTTGCAAACACTTTCTTTCAGTGCTCATGACTAATATACAGCACGGGTACGACTTTCCACAACTGGACTTGGATCACTGTACCCTATATGCGACCGAAGCTAATCAGCAAGCGGCGGATACTTCCAGTCACATGACAGTTTTCAAGCTAATATTTTATATGAAAAAGAGTACCATTACATTTCTTCCATGAATAGCAACGAAAAATAAGATCATTTCATGTTTCATAAAAAAACAAGTAATTATAGATACATACATGAATGTTTTTTTCTATCACGATAATACATGTTCACCTTCTGGATAATTCATTTTTTCCTCGATGTATTCACTTACTTTGCCATATGGTTCATCATCATGTATACATGAATTTTAATTAAAAATAAATTCTTTTAGTAAAACATTATCGCTTTTCATTTCTATAATCTGTTCTCAAGTACAATAAATTGCTCAATCATGATTGAACCAGTTTTTCTCATATGCTTTTGTATAAATTAGCAGTTTGAAAAAGTAAAAACATTTTGAAACATCGAGATTTCATTTAGTGTCAAATTGGATCCAGATATGATATCATACCCGAGACTCAACTGACATTTTTTTCATTTTCGGTACTTGGACCCGTACTCCAGATCGTGGCGGGTACAGGATTCCTAGACGATTGTGGGACACTATTCATGATAATACTAATTTAATGGAATTTCATTCAATAATATTTTCAACTCATTTGACATAGATTAGCTATGAGAAAAATTTAGAAAATGATTTTCTTTATCCGATAGACACTATGTTTCAATCTATTTGAAAGAATACATTGTAGATGAATTGTGATAAATGAATCTAACATTAATTATTGGTAGCATTAAATGCAACAGGTAGACTTGAGCTATGTTTATTAGGATTGCGTCGATAAATTACGATTAATAAATGATTACTCAATTCTATTGTTATACTTTATTTAATAGTGCGCTAAAATTTCTTATATATAATCATCTAAGAAGATCTAGTTCATTAAAATCAATCCATAAGTGCTCAAACAAAAATAAGTCAATGTCTTATATTCTTTTTTTTACTTGTTCTTCGGTGCTATTTTAATTTTACAGGTCTTCGTCCTATTCTCTGCCTTTAGTCATCGTTTATCTATTTCATTTGTATCAAGCATTTAAGTAAATCTATATGCTGAGCTTCTTGTTTTGCCGGATAAAGCACATTTGGTAACAACGAAAAGAAGAAGATAATCAGGTTTTTTTTGCTTCATGTTAAATCATACTAGTAAGAGCAATGTTGCGGTCGCACTATCGGTAGTAGATTGCCAGTCAGAGAATAACTATTGGTATACCATGAAAGAATGATGATCAGAAGATAGCCGACTCTTTAAGTATCGAACTACGACCGGTTAATTGAAGGTATATCGGTGATTTTTGTCTGGTTTGAATCACGTGGACAGTGAAGTAAAATTAAAGCATTACCTAGAGTAATCATGGTTGAGGGAAATTACGGAATGGAGACATATGGAGAATGTAACTTCATTTCTTCAAATAAAATGGCATGTTCACGTTTAATTTCAAGTAAAAGATCAGCCATTTTTGTATTACGTGATAAAAAACATTCCTTTGCAGATCAATGTTTATTTTGATGCCACATAACAGCTGCAAGTAGTTTAGCACATTTTTTATGTCCCCATAATTTTGCAAGATCAATAGGTAATTGTTTACGACTATCTTCAGCATATACATCAGCATCATGTGCAAGTAACAATTCTAAACATTGTACATGACCTTCAGAAGCTGCTTGATGAAGTGGTGTTAATTGATCATCAGTTGTTCTAATAAAAATATATTAAGGCAAAAAAGAAAATAACAACAATCAATAAAATTAAAGATTTTTTTTTGTTGTTTTCATACATATTTATTTGTGCTTCTTTTTCAACAAGATATTGTAAACATTGAAATGAACGTGAACCAGTTTCTTTTGATATGTATATGTATCCACTGACCTACGCAGTGATCGTTCTTTCTGGAATAACTTGTAATTCAGATTATTCTCAAATGTTCATTTTGAAAGTTTGTACATGAAATCTTCTATCGAAACACAGTATATCTTGAAAATTTCAGAATAGTACATATTATAACAAATCAAGATCGGAACACAGGTACACTAAACCACTACAAATATCCGTAAGTCCTAATATTGACATATTATTATAATTGATTTTCTTATACTAGAAACAAAGTCTTATGAAAGATTGTACCATTCATTTGGATTTCCTGAAGATCAAGTGCTTACATCATTTTCAATCTATTTGAGCAAATTTGGAGGTTTTTTTCTATGAAACTGGAAACATCAACCAATCCTATCTTCCATATAAAAGGATATTTCAATTGTTTTCCGGTTTTTATGACTTGCTGAGTCTTGCAATGACTAAGCATATCTTTGTTAGATTTTTCACGTTGCCCTAATAGCTACAAATGAAGAATTTTCAGAAAATGCTAATTAATTAAATTATTTGTAACTTAGAAAAAATAGGATCAATTACAGGTGAATGTTTCACCGAAAATAGAAAAAAAAAGTCTATAATTAAACTTTTTATATTGCTTAGCAAAAAACATTAACTGTGTTCGAGTCAAATTATCATTCTCACTACTGAACTTGCAAATTTGGAATATTATGTGCCCAGGATTAGTGTGGGTGGGTGTGGAGTGTGTGGACGTGGATATGATTAGATCCGCGCTAACACCCATATCCACACACTCACACCCTCAGGTGGATTCACAGTATTATTCTGTTCGTCTTCGTCCATGCCTACAAGATCTAAAGATTGTCAGGGATATTTTCAAATTTCATAAAAATTCTCATCCATAGCTTCTACTTCTTCATGTTCATCCATTGGAAATGAAACAGCATTTAGAATAGTTACGTTATTCATTAATTTTCTGTATAAATAATGTTGCGATGTATTATCAAAATATTTATTTAATTTATCCAGTACTTCAGTGTCTTTTGTAGCCAATAATGAACAATCTTGACGAAGAATATCATATTCTTTTGCTTGTCCACCACCTACGATTAAATGTAAGTCATTGGGTTTAAAAATAAAATCATTTGAAAATTCATCGAAACATTTTTCAAGTTCTTCTTGTAAACGATCCAAAATGAATCCTAATGTATAAAATGGATCTTTTTCAAATAATTTTGCAGTATGATTCAGATAACAAAATCGTTCATTTTTATATAAGCCCATGAGTACAAAATATTCGCATGCTAATAAACTCAAACTTCCTATACTGGATTTTGAAATACATGGTTTCTCGTCGTCGAGCTTTACTGCGCAATTTTTCCATAAATCTAAAAAATAATCTAAAAAACAAATAAAATATAAATAATGAAAAGAGCTATAGTTTTCTTCTCATGAAAGAATGAAAATTTATATGTAATAATATTTGTCATGGAAAAAACTTTGAATCTCTGTTTGCATAACATTGAACAATGAAACTAAACCAATTTTGTAAGTTCTGTTCGTTTCAATCTCATCTAAATATTTTAATATCCTCCCACAACAAATATTAATTATGTCAATAGAAAGGTTGACTTATGAAAAATCTTTCCTATCTCTACTTTAAACTAATGTCCGTTCCAGACTTAAAGGCACTCAGTTAAAAATTGAATAACTCGACAATGCAAGCAGCTAGCGATCTGCGGTTTTCACCAATCGATAGAAAATTGTAGGAGACACATATTTATATAAAGATCAAGGTTTAAGTAATCAGACACAATAGAAGTAATTCTGGAATCATTCAAAGAATAGGCTCGTTCTTTAGTGAAATTTAAGCAGATCAAGCTGAAACTTGCAGAATATACGGCCTTCCTGTAGTTCAATCTTTTCTAAAAATATCATGGATAAATCTTGTAATGGCGAGGAATGATGTGTCAATCATCATCTGGTCCTACATAAGGCTCTTATTCACTCAATATATGAGCAAATGAGCTCAACTTTTGACTGAATAAATACCAGAATTTAAACTTCATATCTATACAATAACATCATACTTTGGTCATATAAATATGCAGAAATAGCCAAAATTCGATGAAGAAATGATTTTCATACAACACATATTCTAAACTAAATCTGTCCGACTTTCTTAAGAGAAATACAGAACTTAGTAATATTTTTACTGTTTCTTCTCTTTCGTGTGTGTGGGTGTGTGTGTGAGTGTGGGTGAAAAGAGCATCAACATCCACATCCAGCCATTTCTATTAACAAAGTTTAACGTTGATCGCTTGTTAAAATTTGATTTTTTAAGGATGTTTGTCAAATCAGTACCATTAGCAAAGTGCTTTCAATGTTTTCCAAGGAGAAAAGACATACTTCTTCATACTTCCTCCTACTTTTCTATACTTCATCAAACTTTCTTGTATTTTGTTGAACTTTTTCGTAATTTTCCATATACGTACTTGCTCCTGCATAATTTTGTGCGTTACTTTTACTCAAGAAATAAAAGAATAATATAATCAATCTTTCTTTATCATAGATGATTTGAAATTAGATGCCGAAAGTTATAATAATGTTATAGAAGATAAAGACGAAGATAATCAATAATTGTCAGAATTTGACGATAAAATAAGCGATGAAGACAAAAACGAACATATGAATTCGTCAAAAAAAAACGGTTACTGGTGTTAAACTCTTAGAAAAAATTCATCCATATTTAAAAGATTCATACTTCAAAATCAAAATTAACAAGAATTATCGAATATTTACGTAAACAATCAGCATATGGGCTCTGAATTAATGCACATCACCGTTTGTCAAGTGATAGTTTTTCTCGTGTTATTGAAATAAGCAGAAAGTATTAACATTGATACTGTTTATTTTCGTAATTTGTTATTCATGCAAAAGCAAAATCGATAGAATAAGAAACGATTAATATTGAGTTAATCGAATTTGTAATAAATTAAATTTGTACAGTTATAAGTGTATTTTTCCCTCTACTGAAAGGAGGGTCATACACCGAGCAAGGTTAGTATGTTCGTAAGTTCGTTCGTTCGTAAGTTTGTTCGTTCGCACAGAACAAAAAAAATATTTTTTTTAACCCTGAGAAGATTCCGCCTCAAAATATCGACAACAATTGACTGCCACGGTACAAACCAGGAATTTTCGGTGTTGACTTGCAATCGGAAATGAGCTTTTTTTCATTGCTTTTTACGCATTTTGATAAAACTCCACTATAGATTATTGACGACCAGGATTCTAAATCTGTGATGGGATTTTGTATCCGCCCTTCCCATTGACTAGAAAGCCAACCAATTAGAAGTCAACTTTTTTATTTTAACGCTTTTCGATCTTTCGATAAAAGTTTGGAATAGATTATCGCTATCCTGGAATGTGAATATCAAGTCGGTTTTTCGATTTGAGCTTTGATTAGTCAGAAATGGACTAATCAAAAAACGAGCTTTTTTACTCTCGACTCAAGGGATGGTGATATGAAATAAAATGAGTTTTTGATCTAGTGGTTATTGGGAGAGGAACCCATTCAAATGTATTAGCATGATTACAGATTGAATAATCGGAGTAACATCAAATATATATGAAGTTTTATCGGTCCGCCAATTTAGCCAATTAAATATTTTCAGTATTTGTCTATGAATCTGTCAAGCTTTATTCGACTAGCAGTAATTTTATCTGTGTCTGTTTCTTTCTCTACTAGCTGGTGTGTTTAGGAAGGGTTGATGTGTAATTGGAACATTTACTGCGATACTAATGTGCAATCAATGATTTTTTAGATGGTTTGCGCTTGACCTTAGCTGATGAGTTGCATCAGGTCAACTTTATTGTAAGTTGTCCTATCTAGATGTGGTTCTCGAAGTAGATATGTGTCAGAGAAAAATATAAAAATTGCATTTACGCCAAAGGCATTTAGGGTCCCACCAACATTCGCATCCACGCGGACAAGTACTTCTAAAATTCAAAGTCTAGTTGTGATCGATCCGACAATATCAGTATTCAAGTCTACTCTCATTATATTTTTTTCTGGCTAAGTATTCACCTACTTGCATATTTTTTCAGGAGCTCTGACTCGTGTAATTTTTATAGTTACTATAACTCGAAGAAGCTAATATAAAAAAATATTTGTAGATGAGGTCATAACTTTTGTGGTAAATGGAGAATAACCAACTATTGTTTTAATGTGTTCAAATAATGGAGCGACTAGTCGTGAGTGGCGCCCAGAGTGACCCCGCTGTACGACTAGTCGCTGATATTGCAAGCACACATTAGATTCCCTTCCGAAACGATCTATATAAAAGCTAGGTTTATTGAAAATACTTCACTAAG